GCTGATCAAGTTCACATAAGTGAAATTGCAGGTACTTTATTAATTACTTAGTGGAATAATGGACTTACATAGTATGGTATATTTTCAGCAAGAATGGAGTATTTCTCCGCTTTATGGGACCTTTTGGAGTTTTCAGTGATGTTTGGTAATTTCTTCTAATTTTTTTGCTAAAAACTTATTACATATATTCCTGTGTACCTTATTTTATGTTACTTAGTTTTCTTCTATTATGTTCTCTAACTGTTACTATTATATCTGATATGTCTTGGCCATAGAAAGCACGAGCCCATCAAGATGTCTACTGTTGCAGAGCCAACCAGGGTTGTGTAGTGTAGACGTAATGGTTAGGTCAGTAGCACAGTTACTGGCAGAGACTTCAAACCTGCTAATCATTTTTTTTTCCGTGACCTTGGAAGCCATTGTAACATTTTTAGAATATAGGAGGTCAAAAGGAATTTGTACTACCAAGCACATGGAAAGAATAGAATGGAGAGAGAAAAAAAGACTCCTGATCATTACTTTTTAAAAAAAAATCATTTTATTGGGGGCTCGTACAACTCTTATCACAATCCATACATCCATCCATTGTTAAGTACATTTGTTGCCATCATTATTTTCAAAACCTTTTCTTTCTTCTTGAGCCCTTGGTATCAGCTAATTTTCCCCCCTCCCTTCTCCATCCTCCCTCATGAATCCTTGATTTATAAATTATTTTTTCATATCTTACACTGACCGATGTTTCCCTTCACCCATTTTTCTGTTGTCTGTCCCCCTGGGAGGGGTTTATAAGTAGATCATTAGGATCGGTTCCATCTTTCTCCCCCTACCTTCCCCTCCTGATATTGCTATTCTCATTATTAGCCCTGAGGGTTTATCTCTCCTGGATTCCCTGTGTTTCCAGTTCTTATCTGTACCCATGTACATGCTTTAGACTAGGTGGATTTGTAAGGTAGAAATGGGGTCATGATAGTGGGAGGGGAACAGGTTGAAAACTGCTTAAGTACAGGAAAGTTGTATATTTCATCGGTGCTGTATTGCACCCTGACTGGCTCATCTCTTCCTTGTGATCCTTCTGTAATGGAATGTCCAATTGTCTACAGATGGGCTTTTGGGTCTTCACTCCACACTCCCCCTCCTTTCACATTGATATGATTTTTTTGTTCTGGCTCTGTGATGCCTGATACCTGATCCCCTCGACACCTCATGATCACACAAGCTGATGTGCTTCCTCCATGTGGGCTTTGTTGCTTCTCAGCTAGATGGTCGCTTGTTTGTCTTCAAGCTTTTAAGACCCCAGGCACTAAATCTTTTGTTAGCTGGGCACCATCAGCTTTCTTTACCACCTTTGCTTATGTTCACATTTTTCTTCAGCAATCGATTCAGGAAGGTGTGCATCCTGGAAGCATGTTACCTTTTATACAACTTGGTAGGAGAGGAGCAGTTTATCGATCTTAAAAGCTCATATCTACATCCTTAATGCTTACGAAACTAAGGTTAAAAATTATTGAAAGCAGTACGAATTTAAAAAGTCTGTATTCTGTTTACACTTCGCAGTGTAACAAGAGGAGAGATGGTAAGATCTAAAGGAAAAAGGATCAAGAAGGAGGTGAGGCTCTGTGTGGAAAGTCACTTTGGAAAAGCTTCTTGGACTGGCATTGCTGTTAACAGGACAATATTGTACAGGAAGGCAGTGTAGCTTTTGTTGACCAAAATCAACTGTTTGATGATTTTTAAACTATGTGCTTATTTCAAGTAGCCCATTCTTGAATCACCTAGTCTCAAAATCATGTCATTAATCTCAGAAATAAACTTGTTTATTATGTTTGAAATGAACTTGTATGCCATTAAAGACTCCATGTTCACTTCAGCTGTACTTCTCCTCTTTTAGCCACTCAGACCAATATTTAGATCCGAGGCATAAGGAACCTGGAGGCCACCCCCCTCCATGTAGCAATTTCTTATTTGTGTGTGTGTGTGTGTGTGTGTGTGTGTATATATTTGTTGAACCTTCCATTTTTTGTCGTGTTCCCCTCCCCCCCACCTCCCTTTCCTGTTCATCCCCATCCCTGGCCTATTTGTAGTCATTAAAGCCTTGTCTATTGATGTATAACTCCTATTTCTTCTTTGTTTTCCTCATAGCAATGGTGATATTAAATATGTTTCTTTGTAAGATTGACTGAGTTTGCTAAGCAAAATGTTTTGTCCATGTTTTTTGGTGTTTAAAAGTGTTATTTTTTTATTGATGCATAAAATTCCACAGTATGAATGTCCTAGAGCAGCGGTTCTCAATCTATGGGTCGAGACCCCTTTGGGGGTCAAACAACCCTTTCGCAGGGGTCGCCTAATACATCCTGCATTATCAGATATGTACATTATGATTCTTAACACATACCAGATATTTGCATTATGATTCATAACTAAAAAAATTAAAGTAGCAAGGAACTGCGTTACAGGGTTGCGGCATTAGGAAGGTTGCAAACCACTGTCCTAGAGTCTGTCATTCCTCTAGAGTTGGGGCTTTTGGGTTCTTTCCATGTTTTTGCTATTGTGGAAATTGCTGCCATAAACATACATGTACATGTGTCTGTCCATGTTATACTCTTAATTTATTTTGGGTATATACCCAGTAGAGAGATTGTTGGATCATAAAATACTTGGATTTGCATTTTTAAGGAAATGTCATACAGATTTCCTTAATAGTTGTACAATTCTACAATCCCACCAGTAATGTAACAGAAAAACCAAACGAGTCAATAGTAACTCATAGTGACCTAGGACAGGGTAGAAAACCCCCTGTGAGTTTCCAAGACCCATCTTTCTCCCAGCTAGCACACTATTGGTTTGGAACTGCAGACCTTGTGGATTGCAACCCAAAACACTACGCCATCAGGGCTTCTTTCCAGCAACGTAAAAGTGTTCCTATCTCTTCATATCCTCTCCAGCATGTTTGTTTTATTGAATTTTACCAAAAATGTCAGTGTGAGGTGGTATCTCATTTTAATTTGTATTTTGCTTAGTGCCAAAGACTCTGAACATTTCTTCATCTGGGTTCTTAGCTGCCTCTATGTTCTTTGGAAAATTGCCTAGTGCCCATTTTTTTTTTTGATTATTTGTGTTTCTCTTAAGATGTTGTAATTGTCTATAAATTCTGGAGATTAGACCTTTCACTGACTTATTATTACTGGATATTTTTTCCCAATCTGTGGGTTCTCTGTTGACTTTTTTGAATGCAGTCTTTTCTTGTGCATAAATGTTGCATTTTTAGTAGTTCCCATTCTGTCTTCTGTAGTGTGAATATCTATCATTATGTGCGGTAGTCTGTGCCTTGCATTGGGATCCTTTTTATTTTTTAGGATCTTTAATTTCATCTCATTTTTTCATTGATAGTCTTTGATGCATCTTGAGTTTGGTGTTGCATGTGGTATGAGGTATGGGTCTTGTTTAATTCTTCTGCAGGGGGAAAACCAGGTTTTCCAGCACCATTTGTTGAAAAGTTGTCTCTTGCCCCTTAATGGTTTTTTCCCCTTTATAAAAAATTAGGTAATTGGTTGTATTTTTGGGTTTCCTATTCAAATCCATTGGGCCTCATATCTATCATTGCACCAGGCTGTTTTAATTACCATACTAGGTTTTAAGGTCTGGTAGTGAAAGGCCTCCTACTTTGTTTTTAATTTTTTAATAGTGTTTTAGTTCTCCTACATTTCTTTCCTTTCCATATAGTGTTGGTAATTCATTTTTCCATCTCGGTGAAAAATTGTAGAATTTGGATCATAATTGGAGTTTATTTGTAAAGTATTTTTGGTAATACTGACTTTTTCACACAATTTAGTTTTCTTTGTATAAATGTTTTGGGAAATAGGCAAGGTTGCCCTTTTTCACCACTTCTATTCAATATAGTTATGGAAGTGTAAGCGACCATAAGACATCAAAAAGAATGTGAAGGTATCTACATATACACCGAAGAAATAAAAATCTCTCTCTCTGCAGACAACATAATCCGATATATAGAAAGACCCCAAAGATTTAATTAAACAATTGCTCAAACTAAGTGAGAACTTTGGTAGCGTAGTAGGCTAGAAAATAAACATAGAAATCAGTTGGATCCTTGTATAAGGATGATGAAACCAAAGAAGATATTAAAAGAACAATACTATTTACAATAACTATATAAAAGATAAAATACGAAGAACATTTTTGAGTTTGGACTCCAGAGCTAGACGATGCGTTTGAATAACTAGTGTTACTGTTGACAGTTGTGAGACCTTGGGGAAATTACTTCTCTGTGCCTCTGTTTACTTATCTTTAAAGGATACTAATGGCACCTAATTGGGGGATTATATGACTGTGTTAATACCCTTTTAACATGGTTTGGAAAGTATTGAAAGCACAATGGGGGTTAGCTATTAAGTGCTTTTATTAAAAAAGCTAATGTAGAATGGAAGATATTAACAGATTCATGGGGTTTTCATTTGCTCCTCCTGACTATGCCATAATTCCTATTTAAACTTTGGCATTCTGTATGAAATATGGGCTCTAATAAATCACTTATGTCAGGCAAGTAGGAGGAATGGACAGCCTGTAAGATTTTCCTTCAAACAAGACTGTATTTTTATAGAGGATCCCTGAGGCCATAGTGGTTATTGCATTGGGCTGCTAACAGCCAGGTCAACAGTTTGAAACCACCAGCAACTTGTCCGGAGAAAGACAGGGCTTTCTTCTAATGGAGTGAATTGCACTCGGAAACTCAGAGGCAGTTCTGCCCTGTCGAATAGGGTCCCTGTGAGCTGGCATCCACTCAATGGCAGTGAGTGTTTTTATAGTTTGTCTTGTACTACAGGTTAATGTTACTCCAACCTTTTAGGACTACACTAGGCATGGCACAATTACCTTCCAACATTGCCAGGGTTAAAGGAGCTTCAGTGATGATGCAAAAGTGGCAGTAAAAGGCCAACTGTATGTTTGCTAGGGAACAGTCTAGATTCTAGAATAAGAGACCAGAATGAATTTTAAAAGACAGAATTTTATTTCGTTCTCACACAGTAATCTTGGGATGGATTCCAGAACTGCTATGACATGCTGGTATCAGAATCCTGGGCTGCTTTCTGTCTTGTTGTTTTGTCATCTCTGAGGATAGCCTTTATCTCATGGTGAAGATTTGCATCACAGCCTACAGGGAGGAGGAAAAATAAGAAAAGGCATGTTCATTTCCTTTTGGGGGGATAAGCCAGGAGTAGTTGTGTATGATTTCTCTCATCATACCCAACTGTACACAAGTAAGTCACAAGGCTACATCTAACTGTACGAGGTCTGGACAAGAGGCTTAATGTGGTGGGCAGGTGCCTAGTAAAATGATTGTTAAAAAAGCAAAATAAAATATATATTGGAACGGTTGCTAGAAGTTGGTTTATTACAATGAGATTTGAAAAAGAGTATTTGGGGGAGGGGTGCTAGGAAATAAACTTATAGAATGCAGAGAGTTTACATGTACATTTTCATATGAAAAATTCTTTCCAAATACATTATATTTACAACTACCCAAATCTCACTACCTCTGGATCAGTTCTGACTGCATATGGTTCTGTGAAGCAGCTGGTGAATTTGAACCACAGACCTCGTGGTTAGCAGGCTACTCCTTATCCATGCAGCACATAGTATTTTTCAGATACACTCCTTTCTGTCTGTAGCATAGTAACTTTAAGTTGTCATCTCCTTTTAAAAATTATCTTAACCTTATCTGATACAGAAACCTATCCATGCTTATTGGAAAACTTTAGTTAATTGGAATCATTTTATAATCATTCAAAACCTTAATTTTAATATAAAGCAGATACTATCTGTAAAAGTATACCAAAGCATATATATCCAGTAGATGAGAGCTGAGTGGTAGGAAATATTTGTTCTAATATTTTAACTAATGACTAATGTATCTTATTATTCATATAAAACTTTTATACCTTAATTTTAAAAGTTTTTAATGCTGGAAACTATGGTTATTTAACTCCCTATACTGTGCTTTTGAGAGGCTATTTTATATTTGACTTAACAGGCATATTCATGACAGCCTGCTTTGGGCTCTACCTTACCTATCCTCCCTTTATTGTGTCGTGATGCCTTGTCAGATTTGATCTATACCTTCCTACCTTAAGGTATCTTTGCCTAAAGACATAATCTTAAACCTTTCATAATTATAAGCACATCAAAGACTGGCTTACTTTGCTGCTTAGGCCTATATGAAACTGTATTACTGGTTTAACTTTAAAGAGATGTAGTTTTCAGCAAAGTTCCTAAGAGTGCTGCAATTATCAAACCGTTGGTTTTTTCTCTGTGGTAACATAAGGTCAATCAGGGAATGTGACATATTAAACAATACCCAATACTTAATGACCATAATTATTAACTCTTATTAAATGAGGGATGGTTTTTGTGGTAGAAACCTAGTCAAAACTTCACCAATAAATTATTTGGGCTTAAGCTGTTTCTCTCTTATGTAGTATACTACCAAGTTCTGCATATCCAGCATAGAGTGATGGCCATTTCACATTTTCTGCCTGTAAATAATAGACTTTTACTTGATGCTTTACTGTATAATATTGAAGGAAAATCAAAATGATTGCTACTAGAGTTCTGGGTTTCTTTTTTAAAAAAACCTTGTTTAAACATGCTTGAGATCTGTGTATGGTTACAGACTAGTTCTCTTGGTAATACACTTGTACATTGAGGTAGTTTATAAAAAGATCTTTTGTTATCTAATTTCTGTTAAAACTCACTTGCAAAAATCACTGGAGCTTTCTACCACATTACAGAAAGGCTACTTCCATAAATAAACTAGAAGTCCAGAAACTGGGGGGAAAGGGGATGCATAAAGATGAATATCCTAGGCATGAGTGCGCTGTAATGGAGTGGTATTGGCCATTTTGAATCATATCACCATATGATCTACCATTCCAGGAATGACAAACTAAAGAGGCATTGCATGCATCATCAGAACATTTCAAGATCTATCTTGAATAAGCATATCTGTAGAGACAGTCACTGGATTGACTGTTCTTTGTGGGCATGGCAGGGGAGTTTGGGGAGCTGGTAACAGAGTCCAAGAATGAAGAAACCGTACAATCAGTTTTAGAACAAACTCTGCTTGAGGTGATTGAACTACTGAATTGTATGATACATGAATTATATGCCAAAAAACCTGTTTTTTAAAAAGATCCTGAAGTATAACACTATGATAGGATAATATCCATCTAAGGAAGACTAGTTAATACATTTTTTTATAATTTACATACAAGTTATTGATGTCAGACTAAAAAATCAAAATATTTTTACCAACTTAGTTTGATGGAACTCCAAGACTATAGTCTTTAGTTACCCTTCAGGCCTAGATCTGAACTCACTCTCATGTCTCAATTTCCAGCTATTTCAAACATAGATACATAAGGTAAACAGTGGTTGTCACAGTACATTGACAGGAAGCTGCCAGAGGTTCAAGCCAGATTCAGAAGGGGATGTGGGTGGGACAAGGGATATCACTGCAGAAAGTAGAGAATACCAGATAGATGTTCACCTGTGCTTTGTTGACTATGCCAAAGCATTCAACCGTGTGGATCATAAACTTTGGATAACCTTCAGCAGAATGGGAATTCTGGAAGACTTCATTGTGCTCATTTGAAACTTGTACATGGAACAAGGGAATAATACTGCAGGGTTTAAAGTCAGGACAGGGTTGTATCCTTTCACCATACTTGTTTAATCTGTATGTTGAGCAAGGAATCAGAAAAACTATTAGATGAAGAAGAATGTGGCATCAGAATTGGAGGAAGGCTTAATAACAACCTGTGATACATGCAGAGGACACAACCTTGCTTGTTGAACGTGACGAGGACCTGAAGCGCACTTGCTAATGAAGATCAAGGATTGCAATTTTTATTATGGATCGCAATTCAATTTAAAGATGACCAAAATCCTGATCACTGGAACAACAACAGTAACATCATATTAAATGGAGAAAAGGTTGAAGTTGTCAATAAGGCCAGAGTGCTCCTTAGAGGCACGGATGGCGAGATGTCGTCTCACCTTCTTTAGACATATTGGCAGAAGAGGCTAATCCCTGGAGAAGAACATCGAGCATGGTAAGGTGGAGGAGCAACAAGACACAATGGCTGCAACAGTGGGTTCAGGCATAGGCACACTCATGAGGGTGGTGCATACAGGGTCACTATGGGTCAGAACTGACTTGGTGGCATCTAACAACAGCAACAAGGTAAATGAAAACAGATGAAATCAATCACCGGAGATCAAAAGGCAAAGTTCAGAAATGAAACTGGGAAACACAAAGAAGTTGGATGAGTGATGTTGTATTTGTTATATTGTAGGGGTTACAATCAATGACATGATATGTAGTAATGGTCAAATGGGAAACTGATCTGCTTTATAAAGAGCTCACTCGCTCGCTCTCACTGTCATGAATAGACTGTGGATTCAAGTAAAAACGAAATCCTTAACAACTTCAATCTTTTTTTTTACATTTTACTGGGGGCTCACACAATTCTTATCACAATCCATATATACATTCATTTGTTGCCTTCATCATTCTCAAAACATTTGCTTTCTACTTGAGCTCTTGGTATCAGCTCATTTTCCCCTCCCTCTCCGTTCCCTTCCTCATGAACAGTTGATAATTTCTAATTCTTATTGTCATATCTTACACTGTCCGATGTCTCCCAGCCAGGGAGGTGGTTATATGTAGATCCTTGTAATTGGTTCCCCCTTTCTGCCCCACCTTCCCTCCACCCCCTCTGTATCGCCACTCTCACCCCTGGTCCTGAAGGGCTCATCTGTCCTAAATTCCGTTTCCATTCTCTGGTCTAGCCAGATTTGTAAGGTAGAACTGGGATCATGATAGTGGGTGAGAGGAAGCATTTAAGAACTAGAGGAAAGTTGTATGTTTCACTGTTGCTACACTGCATCCTTGACTGGCTCTTCTGTTAGGGGATGTCCAGGACAACTTCAATCTTTTCTCTCATATCATGATGTCTATTGGTCCTTTTGTGAGGATTTTTTTTTGTTTAGGTTTAATCTATACTGAAGGCCGTAGCTTTTGGTCTTCATCTCCCAGGTGCTTCAAGTCCTCCTTGCTTTTAGCAAGCAAGGTTTTCGTCAATCCTGATGATAACATATTCTTCATGTAATCCAGTTTCTTGTATTATTTGCTCAGCATACAGATTGAAAGTATGTTGACATTATACAACCCTAACGCATACCTTTCCTAATTCTAAGCCATGCACTAGCCCATTTTTCTGTTCAAACAACTGCTTCTTGGTCCATGTACAAGTTCCACAGGAGCACAAGATTTCTGAAGTTTGTATTCTCCCTGTTATTCCTAGTTTGTTATGATTCACACATCTGATGTCAACACTGACATTCCTCATTTTGTGTCCTAAGGGTCTCTATGAATCGGAATCAAGTAATCAGCAGTGGATTTATTTATTTAATTCTGAAAAGAAATATAGGATTCATTTCATTTCTTGTGGGCTTTTGGTCACAATGTTTTCACCAACCAATCAATATATTAACTTAGGTGTATCTGTGAAAAACACCTATTTGCTTCATTAATATTTAACTCATGGTCAACAGTTGTATAAGGCACAGATTAGATTTCTCACCCTTAGGTCCACTACATCACTAGGCTTGGAGCCATTTTCAACAGCAATATCACACATAAAACACAAAAATATGAAAAATCTTCAGTGTCTTCTTGCTCAGCCTCAGCTGGGAGAAGTACCGCACGTTTTTCTCTTCTCCACACGTATCTGTGAGTGAGCCAAAGTACCACAGATGTTGATTTTAGTATTACAGGTTTAAATCGTGTGTATGTATCTGTTACATAGTATTTTCTAGATATGTAAAGGTTATATGGAAAACTAAGGGAAAAGGCAAAACAAGTACTTTAAAATCAAAGTTTGTAAAATTATCATTTTTATGTATATTATCCCAGGTAAAACGATGCAAGAAAATTCTACTCTTTTAGATGTGTTTTCTCCTCGGGGACTTGAATTTTCAAAGACTGATAGGGTTGCATGGTCTTTTTAAAGCCTTTGGGCACAGGGCTGATAAAGTGTAGTTTCAGTTATTGGCATGCTTGTGTAATAAAGCATGTAGGAGTAACTGACA